GGCCGGCCACGGGCCGCGGCGGGCTCCGGCGGCGGCGGTGGAGAGAGAGGGAGGCGGCGAGTGGGAGGATGCCACGTGGCGGCGGACACGGCGGCGGACACGTCCGCCGGCAGGGAAAGTGTCCGGCGGCGCGCGAGGTGGATTTTAGGGTTTCGGACGAGGGAGGATCCGGATTTCAGGGAAGGGGTTTTTAAATAGGCATAGAGGGAGCTAGGAGAGTCCAAATGAGGTGCGGTTTTCGGCCACGCGATCGTGATCGAACGCTCTAGATGATGGAGTAGAGTTAGGTGGGTTTTGGGCCAAATTGGAGGGGTGTTGGGCTGCAACACACACGAGGCCTTTTCGGTTCCTCGGTTTACCGTTGGATATCAAACGAAGTCCAAATGGTACGAAACTTGACAGGCGGTCTACCGGTAGTAAACCAAGGCCGCTTGGCAAGTCTCGGTCCAATCCAGAAATGTTTAATCCCCACACACGAAAGAAAGCTAGAAATGACCACCGGAGGAGAACGAAGCGCCGGAATGCAAAACGGACAACGGGGAAAATGCTCGAATGCATGAGATGAACACGTATGCAAATGTAATGCACATGATGACATGATATGAGATGCATGACAATGATAACAACACACGGAGACAAAAACCCAAACCCGAGAAAATAAATTAACTTAACGCCGGAAACGGCAAGAGTTGGAGTACAAATTGGGAAAGTTACATCCGGGATGTTACATTGACGCCCAAACACAAATCATTTTAAAGTTTCGGATTCTCCACTTGGTTCTACCTCACTAGTCAATTCTAGGCTCCTAGCTAGCTTGTGCCAAGATATGCACATTTTGTTTGTCATGTGCACTAGCTAGCGGGCAAGCAAGTGTACACATGTTTTCATCTTGTGTTGGTACACACCTTTAACTATGTGTTGCATAGAGAGTCATCGTCTTTGGCAAGAAGTTTTGCAAAAGATAAAATGAACTAGATTCATTTAGTTGTCACCTAAAGAGATGGTAACAAATATATCCATACAGGTGTTCAAAAAAATCTACACGGACATGCCCTCCCCTGACCGCGGTGTATTCCCTACCTTCCAGCAGTATTCCCTCTAATGCCACTGCGGCCAGGCGACACCTTAATCTAGCCACGGGCAAACTCTTCCTGTACTTCAACCTCGATATCGACGAAGAGCATCGCCTAAATTTCCAAAACCTTGTGGGGGGTCACAGTCGCCAGTGGCCATGGACGCACACGCATGGGCGCTAGGCAGAACCACGATGGTGTACAAGCACGAGGGCAGAAGATTTTCTCTTTTTTCTTAGGGCATCTCTCGGTAGGCTTGTGTCATCACCTAGCTTTTAAAGCTTTGCTCCACTTGATCAGGACGTATTTCCCTCAAAAAAACTTTTTCCTCTAAAACTTTTTTTGAGGGACAAACCATTATGACTAGCTTTATTAAATTAAAGGATAATTACATCGTTTGCAAGTTCTGGGATCATCCAAACCAAAGGGTCCTCAGTCCAAGAACAAGACAGTTTATTCAAATAACTATGCTTAGCTAGCTCATGAGCAACGCCATTAGCTTTCCTATCATCAGTGCTTCCTATTATCAATGCTTAAACTTGACCTTCCCTATTAGACTTGTAGTACTCCCTCTGTAAACATATATAAGAGCGTTTAGATCACTACTTTAATGATCTAAATGCTCTTATATTTCTTTACGGAGGGAGTATCTAGAGACTTGGCATAAATGGTCGCCGCTGGTCCCACCATTGAGTAGTGCCAGTGCAAAAGTTAATCACCTCCATCGAGTCTCATTCGGCCTCAACAGTGTTGAAACCAAGAGAGTTGGCAAGAACTAGCCCATCTCTCATCGCCATGGCTTCTGTGGTACAAGCATCTGCAGCAAATGGAACAAATGAACATTGTGGCGCCAGAAAATTTCCCCTATGATCACGGATAACTGCTGCTGTAGCTCCACTTCCCTCGTCAATATGAAAGGCCGCATATACATTCAGTTTCACAGATCTGACTTCAGGCTTTGTCCATTTTGCTTCTGGTTCAGTCCCACTAACTTTTTTCAGTCGCCAGGATAGAAGTAGCATTGCGTCCCAGGTGGTGAACAATTCCTTCATGAGTAATCTGGCGTCGAAGCCACCAAAGGTACCAGCATGTCGCCGCAATTGTTTCTCTTACCCCTATTGCATCAGTGCCCGGCATCATTCCCTGCGGACCTCGTAGGGGAGTTTCCAATAGTTCAGAACCTGATATATCTGTCCCATCGGCTTCAGTTATCAGAACCTGATATATCTATCTCAGAGCATGATTGGTTTAACTGTTGTAAACAAGTACGTGAATGGGCAAAACCGTGCTTTAAGATTAAGCAAATTACGAGGTATATGTATTCCATGCCCTCTCCATCAAATCAAATGAAAATGCTCCATCCATTCTGAAAGCAGGAGCAGAGAAGGGTGGTACACAAAACAAAAGAACAAAAGACATTATCTCAACCAGATCACAGGTGGGCCCGGTTCCACCTATACAATACCCAAGGAGTTAAGATAGATCAACATTTGGTTCACCGGTACGAGTTGTGTCAAGTTATTTCCCCTATAATAAAAGGATCATTAACATTGGCTGGGCTGTCATCATCTGTTCTGTGAATGCTTCCTACAATAACATCATTAGTAAAGAGCCCCTCTTTCTCTATCAGCATGAAGGATCGTGCATGTGAGTTAGACATGTAGATTTTCTGTATATGAGGCCCTTGATGGCATAATCATAAGCTCTGAAAGATACCCAAACTCTGGCCGTGAAGAGATTAGAGATCATGCTGCTAGCAAAAAAAGAAAAAACTAACTGTGTGGCAGTATGAACCATTCTGATTCTGAGAACACAGAATAGTATTTAGGTTGCTTTTGTCAAATGAAGTGGGATTATTAGCTTGTTAAAATTAGGGATATCGGTCAGAATGTACGGCCATATGAACAACATTTGTGTACGTATGAAAATGCAGCGATTCCATTGCAGACTCCCTGGCTTCACAGTGTATTGCATATATACATACCCAAGGGAAACTTTCAATTTTTTACAGCATATACTGGCGAGGCCTATTTTAGTAGGACGGAATGATCTGATTAAACCCACGCAGATTTCTAATCCTTCACCAAAGGATCGTATCCTCTCCAGGTTAGGCAAGACAAAGGATCAACCAAACGGTGAGTGCCTGCGAAATAATGGGATGGAAATCATCACTACAATATCAAGCGATTCACTTGATTTGTCCTATTCTATGATACCTAGAGATTCACTTTACCTTGCTGCTGGCAGCTAATGCAGAACAATATCAAGACCTTCCAAGGCTTTTTGATCCTCTACCTCCTCCGGCTAAAATTTGCTCAAGACGGTGCAGATCAGCTGTTGCAGCGAACTTAATCACTGCCTTTGCAGTTTGCTGGCTCCTAGATCATAGAAAAGACCATCAGTACTATCAAAACATTATGCTTCTCCCTACCCATCAAATGATGTTAATGTGCAAGTCTCAAGGGCAGACCTCTCCAAATCAGAATCATCTTCATCAAGTGATGTGATATTTTCTTTAGTAAATGACAATGGGCCGGCCATGTATATGCTCATCATAGGCTGAAAGCCTCCTTCCCATATATAATACATTCTACAGCTTCACCAACTCTTAAATCACCGCATGGCTTACAGTTCATGACATTACTTCTAGGGTGACTGGAGCCTATGAAGAAACCATACCATTGCAAAATCTTTAAGAAGTTAACATGGTCTGAGAAGAGCATCGACCAAAAGCTTCACTGCACTTCATTTCCTCTCTAATAAAGGGATCAGTACCTGTCATGTGGTCAAACAAGCCACGATGCATACCATGCTTAAGCAATCATCTTGCCAGCTAGGCATGTATCATATTCCAGTTCTAGCAAGGAATGACTTGGGACCATAATAGGCTTCAACATACTGATTAATGCTCTAACTTTAGATGGCTCTGGCAAAAAGTTTGCTAATGTATAAGTGTTTGAGGTCAATTTTAAGTGATCGGTATTGTTTGTCCTCATTGTCATCAGCTTCTTTGCAGATCACTCCCCAAATAAGGGAGTCCACTAAAATTCCAAATATACAGTCATTGTAGAGTTTCAAGCTGGGAAAAGAGATAAAAATACCCGGTGCGTTAATACAAAAATAATTTCCAGCTAGTAGTTCAATGTGAGCATGCATGCAAAAAAAATTATCCTATGTTATAAGATGTGATAGTATCAGTTTGTAAATCAATATGTTACCTCTGGAAACCTTGGCCTTAACAGGAAGATGGTCCAAGAAGAACCAACTATTATCCACCAAAAGCTTCGCTGCTTTTCACTTCCTCACTACTAGACGAATCAGTATCCGTTATGCGGTCAGACAAGTCACAATGTGCACCATGATTTAAGCCATCATCTTGCTCAACTAGGCATATGTCATATTCTGATTCTAGCAAGGAATGGCTTGGAACCATAGTTAAATCCATCATACTCATCAATGATCTAACTTTAGCTAGCTCTGGCCAACATTTTGCTGATATATACGTGTTTGAGATCAATTTGTAGTGACCAGGATTGTTTGTCCTCATTGCCAGCAGCTTCTTTGCAGTTCGTTTGCCAATTTCTGTATTACCATGGGTCAGGCAAGCCTCAATAAGAGTCGCTAACATTGCAGCAGTTGGCTGGAACGGCATCTTGTCAATTATCTCCTCGGACACCTTCAGCAAACCTTCACGGCTGTACAAATCAACCATGCAAGAAAAATGCTCCACTCTTGGTGCAATACCAAACACAGCAAACATATTGGCAAATAGTAGCTGCCCTTGAGTGACCAGTCCAGAGTAGCTACATGCTGAAAGAACAGCAACCATGGTTACATGGTCGGGCTCTATACTGTTGGCGATCATTTCATCAAAGAGCTTCAGTGATAGATGGCCCTCTCTTTGCATTCCATATCCCAAAATCAATGAAGTGTAGGCATGCTTGTCTCGACATTCCATCTGATCAAATACTATCCGTGAAGCTCTCATGTGTCTAGACTTTGAGTACATGTCGACAAGTGAGTTTTGCAATAATTTAGAACCACCCAATCCATGTCTAAGGATGTAGCAGTGCAGCTCCCTTCCATGACAGAGGTGTCCAAACCGAGCAACAACGGAGAGCATTGTCAAGACAGTAACATCACTGGGACAGACACCTGAGCCAATCATCTCTCTGAAGAGCAAAGAAGCTTCCTCAACCTGGTCCATGAATGCAAATCCTGCTAACAATGAATTCCAAGCTGTGATGCTCCGAATTGAGTACACTGTAAACAGAAGTACAGCAGAGCTCATCATCCTGCATCTTGAATACATTGTTATCAACGAGTTTACCACACACTCGAGCCTGTCGAAGTATAGACGAACAGCCACCCCATGCAACTCCCTGCCAATCCTCAGATACCCACTCTTAGCACACGCCTTGAGGCCAATCAGCACGCTCACAGAGTCCACCCCTGGCCCGTGGCGATTCCTCGTCTGAGACAACAACCTGATCACTTCATCATAGTTCCCTGCCTTCAAATTCCCTGCTGCAACTGCATTCCACGTCACAATGTTTTCCCCAGGAACCCGCTGAAGCAGCTGAAACGCCTCGGCCCACATCCCCGCCGATGCATAGCCAGACACCATTGTGTTCCAGCTGACAACATCCCTGACAGACATTTCATCAAACACCCTCCGCGCATCCTCTAGCTCCCCGCACTTGACATACATCCCGACCAAAGCGTTCCAGACATACATGTCCAGATCATATCTACTCCTCCGAATACGGTGGTCAATTTTGCGGCCAATGGTGACCTCTCCGAGCTCGCCGCAAGCGCGCAGCAGAGACGGATACGTGTACCTGTCGGCGTCCACGCCCAGCGCCAGCATCCTGTCATACGCCATGACCACGTCTTTCCACAGCCTGTCGCCGGCGTAGCTCCATATGAGCAGGTTCCAGGGGAAAGCTCGCGCCTTCCCAGCCGCCTGCTCGACGGCAGAACGCGCGGCCGGGATGTCGCCGACGGCTATGTACAAGGAGGCGATCCTGGGGAGGACGGAAGGATGCGCGCCCAGGCCGAGCGTGAATGCGCGCGCATGGACCTGCTCGCCGGGGCGGAGCGCGCGGTGCGCGGCGCAGGAGAAGAGGATGGAGGCGAGGGAGGAGGGGGAGAAGGACGAGGCGGGCGGCGGCGGCGGTTCTTGGGCAGGTGCGGCGTTTCTCCAAACGGGTGGGAGACAGCGCTGGATGCGGAGGAGTTGCTGCCTGGAGAGCGAGGCGGCGGCGGCGGCGCAGGTGGGAGAAGGGCGCATCAAACGGCCGCCGCTCTCGCCGTCGCATCACACCGCGGCGGCGGCGGCGAAGCTGGTGGGGAGCGAGAGCGAGAGGCTAATGGTAGGAGGAGGCTCTCGGCGTCTGGGCGCGCCAATGTTTCGTCCGGGGTTTACCATGAGTGCACGCCAAGAGAAATCGGTCACTTATTTTGGAACGTCCGATTCGCATCCAACGTCCCGGATTACCCGCCCAGACAGCACGCAAAATTGTTGATTTTTTTTTTTGAAACTGAATTGAAAGGCAAGACAATGGAAGGGAGAGAGAGAGAGGCAGCAGACACAGAAGTATAATTTGATTATATTTCTCTTGGCACCTACCAAAACACAGGTGTAAGAATCATCAATCCTCAAGAGGGTGGGTACTCATCTCTGAGATATACAATTGGTGACTGTGTGGGCAACAAATTTTTCCAGCGAATATCTTTCTTGCTAAACTTGGCGAAAATCTCTACATGAGTGAAGAGCAGGCCTTCTTCTTCTTCTTGCTGCCAGGAACTACCAGTCCACTGGCGCAATGGTGTGGGAGCTGCCGGCAGAACAAACCTCTCCGCTCGACGGGGGCGTAAAAAATAAGGGGATCATACACTACTTTCCATTGCCGAAGCCATCAAGAATGCCGAGCCGAGCTTTGCGGCGCTATGACCTGCCATTATGGGCAGCGTACAGCAGCGACTCTGACTGGTCTCTCTCGGCGTGCTTGCCCTTTCCCTTGTCCAGACGAGCCCTTCGCACGGCTTGCTGGATTTGCCGCTCGTGCTCTTTAAGGATCTCTTCCATGTTTACCCCAGGAGGCATCAATGGTCCTGAGTACTGGATTCGGTTCTTCCTCGTGCCATTCACCTGAATGAATATATAGGCGAGAAATTATCAGCATGTTACACTACTGACTGAAAAGAATATATAGACGGGAAATTATCAGCCACATTATTTGCAGAACATCCACTACGAAGTCTAGACCCAATAAGAACCAACCAGAAATGCTAATGAATGGATTTTTCGGATTTTATTGAAACTAATCACGGCTCTTAAAGGCTAGGGTCATGCTTTGCTTTGCTCTCTACAAATGTTATGAATTAAGACCAGCTAAAGCTAATTAGAAGAATTAAGTAACTCACCCCTGTAGGCTCCTTATCTGCCACCACTTCATCCTTCCGATGGGAAGATGACGGTCTTTCTTGGAATTGATGCGATTGCGACCATTTGGGTTTGTCAGACTGGTCGGCAGCAGCGAGTTGACTGTATCTTGAACTCGACCGATGCTCTCTTAAATACTGTTTCCTGGCGCTGTCCCCAAGGTTAGACAGCTTACCAGTATTGCCTCGCTGCCCAGTTGCAGTAGATGGGTTAGACATCTCAGCAGCAGCAATCTGAGAGGTGTAGAATCTCTGGCCGTTTGGATCTGTGCCACTTGATCGACCCAAAGTGGAGGATGAACGACCAGCATTCATCAAAGGAACACGGCGAGCATGACCATTGTCTACTACCAGAGGATCCATTGGAAAGCCAGTAACACCATCCTCCTTTGGAGTAAACTTATTACTACTGCTTTTAGGATTAACCGGAACTCGCCGTTGCTGCAAAGCCATGAAACAAGAGAGATTTGAGTAATATGAAACGGCAAACTGTTCATATGTAGCAGTATGACATCAGATTAGTTGTCATATATACAGTATAGTTGCCTCTGGAGCTGGAAACAATGTGTGTGCATTACAGATTGGTTGCTGCATGGTTAGTTGGTTACAATAAAACAGTTGTGTAAATTAACTTCCAAACAAATAGAGAAGCAATTGCATTGCATCCCGATAATGAATCATGTATATAATGCATTCACCGAACTGCTAGCATCGGGTATTGAATGGCATGTTTCAAAGCTCAAAAGTGCAGATTGTGGCACCAGAAAAAAAATCACTGAGGAGACCCTTGGTATGCCAATTATCAGACTATACTAAGATCGGATTAATTCTGCAAAATACCTGTAAACCGATAGTGCCATTTTGTGCTGCAAGTTGCTTCCTGCGTCCAGTTTCAGATTCATGTCCTTTGGCTGCAGCTGCTCTTTGCCTGTGGACCAAAACGGATATAATTAGTTAAATACAGAAATGCCAATGATAAAACCCATCTGTCGAAATTGCAGATTGCATAATATTTGTCTTAGGTTCTATAGAGAATATTACCTCCTAGCTTCTTCATCTCGAAGCTTAGCGTCATATTCCTTACTTGGAGGATATTTTGGCAGACTTGATGGATCACAAGCATAAGGCTTCGTTGTAAAGAACTGTTGTATAATGTACAAGTACAGATTACAAACCAGAAGTTAAGGGCAGTCACTTCAGATATACAGAGGCAACCAAATCAGTTATCAACTAATCCCATAAAGTGAAAAGGCTAATATAAAATAGCATCTCTTAAGTTTTAATATTAAGATCAAAAGATATTGTTCACTTTTGAAAATCAGTGTCTCAAATTCACAATATATGAGCTGAAAATAACACAGAAGTCCATATTTTCAGGGGACTTATTCACATTTGCCACAACTCTTACTTGTATCCTGCCATTACTTTTTAGGGGTTGTTTGGATACTGGGATTTTACAAAAACAGTTTGGCCTACACTTGTTTTCGGTTACAACAAACTAAAACTATGTTTGGTTAACATAACAAATCCAAGGTTAAGTAAATCTTGGTTTTACTAAAACTGAAAAACTGAGTTTATGGAAAAACGACAATTAGACGTTTTTTGACGTTTTTCTATAAACGAGTTCATCATCCGCCGCTGGCGACCGGCATACAGCGCAGCTGGCCTGCGTGTTGCCGTCACCGACGAGTCCTTTCCCAGCAACAACTCATCAACGCATACCGCACCACCCGCGGCCCTCGCCGTCGACGTTGCCGCCGGCCGCTGCCGTCACCGTCGAACACTGGTCCTGCCCCAACGACAACTGATCTCGCGTCGCTCGCGACCGTCGCCATCGTCGGACCATCGTCATCGCCGTCGACCATCGGTCCTTCCCCGGCGAGCCCTCATCCCGCATCACCGGCGGCCGCCGCCAACTCGCCATCACAGTCGACCATTGATCCCTCTCGCGTCTTCCTCGCCGATGGCGGTCTCTTATAAATTTGATCTTGAGTTAGTGTGGCAGCAACAGATTCCTTGTATGCTCGTTCTTGTTCTTGAATGATTGGTCATTCTCATTACTGTCACTCATGCAAACGATTCACGTGTGAGCATTCAGATTGCTTTTGATGATGGATGGGTATGGCAGGAAGGACTAGTAGTAATTTGGCTGTTAACATGATCTTGTGCTCAAGCAGGCTGGCTTCCTCAAGACCACAACGGTGCATCTTCGTCGGTCCTCACCTTCACCGCTGCCCAAGGAACCATCACCGGCGATGATGTCGACCAACCCGGCCAACTGCAGCGCTACTCTCTCTTCGGCCGCGACAATGATGGACCCCATCCAGGAAGTATGAAGAGAGTGCCGGCATCGAAACTGGACGCATTCATCTCTTACGGGGCGGCGATGGCGCAGCCTCGTGTTTAAACATGTTTTATCATCCAAACAAGGTTTTGTGTATACTTGTTCCTAACTGAATTATTGGTAAAACTAGTTTTCTGAAAGAAAAAAATCCAACTAAAACGTGTTTTGTTAAAACTAGGCGTTAATCCTACTTATCCAAACAACCACTTAGAGCTACTCACTACTCACTCTTCTGTTAACCTTATTTGCAGTTGCCACTGCTCCTTTTCCATCCAACTTGCAGTTAGTGAGATATTAAAGGACCAAAATGCCCATGGACATTCTGTCCGATGCTTCTTCCTTCTAAGCCACTTTACCTCCTCCATCCCCTCTCTCCACTACAGAGATCTGGCATTTCATCCCTCTCTCCCTCTACCTCCACCTTGTGGCCAGCATGTCCAGCTCGTGTCAACATTGGGCTCATGTTCCCACCAAAGCACACAATCGCCATATGGGGCCAACTGGCAAGATCCGGACGGCCCTCCAGCTCAAAGAGTCGAGCTGAGCCTCATCCCTACAAACAACAGGGACTGGGAGCTCAAGTGTGGCAAAGCTTGCGTCGGTGTTTGGGCCGCCTTACCGGCTGACTGCGTCCAACACGACGAGGTGAACTTGGAGGCCACGTCTCACGCGGAGGAGGCTGAGCGACAGCAGCAGGCATGACCCTATGCATGATCTGCTTGATTGATTGTACAGAAGAGAGAGAGAGACCAAGATATGATCATTTGTTTTGTTTAACTATAAAACGTTTTGCCTGTAATTATTGCAGCTCAAGATGGCTTCTAAATTGGCATGCAACTTATACTTAACATGTATTCTTGATGGTCCTTTTCCAAATGGGGTGGGTGCCCTAAGTTCAGCAATTCCATTCCAAGGAGCTGCATGCAGGCCACCATTGTGTCATCCTGTAGCAACTAGCAAGGGAGGTTCACTACTGCATCTAGGCTGATGGGAGAGACGAATCAGAGGAGATATCGAATAGGAAGAAGCCAGGAGGAAGAATATGACATGTGGGACCATCAAACGGTGCTTATGGGCATTGTGCAACCCTCAAAAGGTGCTAATGGGTGTTGACCGAATCAGAAACAGAGCTGCATGACAAATGTACATCTAACAGGAGAGTAGCAAAAGTCAGCAACCCTGAAAAGTAGAGGTAGAATGCACGTATGAGGTTGTACTAGTTGTAAATGTACTCACTATTTTCAGATCCACCAAATGGCACGCCAATTATGTTTATATGTGATTGCAAAGACATAAAGCACTTTTAGCTAACATTTTATACATATCTGACCATAGATTCTCTTTATGACAGGCAATACAGCAGCCATATAATGGATCAATGAATGTAAGGGCAGACAGAACTTACTTCACTTTCAAGGGCAGAAGCCGCAGTACCCCTATTATCAGGTTCTACAGCAAGTAAACGGTCCAGAAGTGACAAAGCTGAAGGAGGGAAGTCCTTATATACATCATTCACACAACGACGATACGGATGTTGTGGTTTGAAGATGGTAGCACGTGATAACTTCAAATTAGCCCAGAACTCCTCTGATGGTGAACCACAAAGCTTGAATATTTTGTGCAACTGTTCCACCTGAAAGAGTTTAGACAACAAAAATTGCCCTTAAGTGTCATAAAGTTAACAACATAGATTCACAGAACTATTCAAGACTAACGTAAGTACACAAGTAGGATTAATCCAAAGAAGCAACAGTCTTGAGTTTGAGCAAATTATGACTGCGGCAGTAGTCAAACAGTACCTCAGTTCGTCCTGGCATGATAGGCTTCCCTGACAGCAATTCCGCAAGGATGCAACCAGCACTCCAGAGATCAACCGTGGCACCATAGTTAGTAGCACCCAACAAAAGTTCCGGGGGCCGGTACCATAAAGTTACAACACGACTTGTCAAATTCTGCTTTTGGTTCGGATTAAAGAATGTAGCTAGACCAAAATCTGCTATTTTGAGGGCACCATTATTGTCAAGCAGAAGATTAGCACCCTTTATATCCCGATGCAAAACACCACGACTATGACAGTGACCAAGTCCAGACAGTAGCTGGTGCATGTAACACTTGACCTGAATGGGTCATTTTCCGAAGTCAGCACGGAATGAAAACTAAAGGCACAATAGAAAACCTTTGAATGGAGATCAAAGAAAATGTCCAGAAGGAAAACCTGAGCCTCTGTGAATTTTATGCCAGGTGTAGCAGCAAGCCCCGCAAGATCATGCTCCATGTATTCGAACACGAGATACAAGCTACTAGACATGCGTGATGTCACCAAACCTTCGAGCTTAATAACATTTGGATTATCAAGTCTTCTTAAGATGTGAATTTCCCTCGCCATAAATCGAACACTCTCAGGATCCATATTGGCAAATCTAACTTTCTTAAGTGCCACAATTTTTCCATTCTCAAGATCGCGTGCTTTGTAAACGCTGCTGTAGGTACCTTGCCCTATCTGAAATATTTAAAAGGCGAGGGTGAGAAAAAGCGTAGTAGCACAGAATCAGCAGTTCTAATCAATCAGATTGCTTTAAAGGACTAGGAGCTGCGTGTGGGCTCTATTTTTCTACCTGCACCACGATATTGAGAATGATATTCCAAAGCTTATGGGATCTAGATGTATTTACACTATTACAACTGACAGAATGCCCTATGCCATTAGAAAATGTTCAAGCGCTTTGAAACATTCACACTAAATCACACCTAAACACAATTCAGAACATAGATGGCTAATGAAGGTCTTGAAAAGAGAAACAAGATGATGAATTTGTGGTAAGGATGAACCTTGTCCAACTTCTCGAAGGACTCTGCCTTGCGAGGCTGCCACCCACGGACCGCCTCTGTTGCCACCTCCGTGAGCCACCTCGGCCAGCCAGCCGCCACATGCTCCCCCACCACTCCATTCGGCACATCTATGATCCTTGGCTTCACCTCACCCCTGATGCCACCACTCCTTGGTTCTTGCTCTGCCACGCCATTCGGAGCACGCCTGCGATTCACAGGGGCAGCAACCGCCCTCTCCACATCGACGACGCTAGCGGCAGTTGCGGCCACTTCCTCTGGCAGCGGCACCACTGCATCGACCACCGGCGCAGGGGGCTTCCGAATCAGCCTGGCCGTGCTGGCATCTTTGGCAACACGGTGCCCCACGCTCGAGGACGTGGCTGCCACAACTCCCCCTTCTTCTTCATCCTCCTCCAAGTCCTCGTGCCTCTTGCTGGAGTTGTAACTAACCAGACGCCTCAGCGAGTTGCTGGATGGGCGGCGGCGAGGCTTCCCCTCGCTGCCACACTCGTCGCCGCCATGGAATTGCTTCGAACTGACGCATCCCATGGGACAAGGATCCCGGCAGGAAACCCTACTCCAAGAGAATCAAGACGACGACTTGAAGAGACTTTCTCCCGCATCAGGCCCTCATTGCTCCCCGAATTGGAGCGCCAATCCGGGCTCCTCCGCAGATCCAAATCAGAAGGCAGACACTCGGGAGCCGGAGGAACTCCCCCTCCGCTCCAGCAACTTCCGAATCAGGGAGCGCGCGGCCAGGAACCGGCGCCAACGACGACTGGAACTGAGACTCCACAACTGCAACCGAAATCGGGATCTTCTTGGAGCACTCGAGTGGAAGCGGCGCGAGTTGGGCAGGGCAGGGACGAACCGGGGCGGGGAATCCGGGGTGGGCTGGGATCAAAATCGAACCTTGCCGCCGGAAAACCGCAAAGCGTCGCCCCGCAGATCTCCCTCCCTCCCAACCTCTCTCCTTCCCGAGTGCTGGCCTTTTTCTTGGGTCCTTTTGTTTGGTCTGTTGCAAGTACCCGGTCTTCTGCTTCCCTTCCCTTCTCTTTTCTGGTTGGTGAAAAAAGGGAGAGGGCAGAGGGAGAGAAATTGTCAGCGAGAGGGAGGGAGGGAGACGTTAGTTCCTGTTTTATTTTATTTTTATGTGAAGAAAGAAATTGGGAATCAAGGGCGCAGACAGTTTTTGGAAAATCGGGAAACTCGAATCTCTATTCAATTGCTTAGGCTGGTCATAGTGGGAGTAACATAGATAGTAACATAGATGCCACATAAGCAAAAATGATGATGTGGCAAGTAGTTAATGAGGAGAGAGGCAAATAGAGTAACATAATATGTTACCATCACATAGCGGTTTCCAATGCATAATGAGTCTACAAAGTAATAAATGAAGGCAACTATGTTACCACACCTATGACACTACCCACTATGAAGGTAGTAACATAGACTAGTAACATATGTATGTTACTAGTCTAAGTTACTCCCCACTATGACCAGCCTTAGCCATGTGATCTTTGATTCCCTATGGTTCTGTCAAACTTAGCCGTGTCAAAAGCATCCAAGAACATTGGCAGGAAATTAGAAGAAGTCAACAGATGAATAGCACACGTACACCTATGGTGAGGAGGGCGTGATTAGAGATATGATAAATTAGTGGTAGCTGTGAAGAAAAGAAGTGACAAGCTGTATATAGCGAGAGAAACCAAAGTTTGTTCAAGGTTCAATTATTTTGTTGCAAGGTCCAGTCCACGTGCTAACTTTGTGATTAATTACCTACTTGATTTTTGTGAAACGGTTTTGTTTTTCTCATTAATAACGTACGAGACAGCTAGACCCAAGTATATTGTATTTGCCATCAAAAAGTAGTATAAGAGCATCTACACATGGACGTCTTAAACAAGCCTCAAACACACGGAAGGCCCGCCTGGTCACTGACTGATCACTACTCCCTCCGCTCTAAAATAGATGAACCAACTTTGTACTAAAGTTAGTATAAAGTTGAGTCATCTATTTTAAAACGGAAGGAGTAAAATCTGGCCCAGATGGGCGCCTCAACCGGACCTCAAACGCCCGGGTTGTCTAGTACCCCTTATATCCAGTCCAAGTATAAGGCGGATATGAGTCTCCCCGGGCGCGTCCGCTACGTCAAACCCAGCCCACCCCGACCTCATAAATATCCCCAATCCTAAAATCTTAGCTCACTCCACTCTTGATTCATCTCTTCTCTTCCCTCCGATTTCTCCGATTCGATCCACTCCGGTGACCGTCGCGACCATGTCGAGCGCCGGTAGTGGCTCCTCCTCCGACTACGACAAGGAGTTGGCCCTCCGCATTGCCCTCGAGAAGTCGAAGGTGGACATGGGTGGCAGTTCCCGACCGGCCGCCTCGCCTCTCCCCGCCGGCGCAGGCTCCTTCCAGCCCATGTTTGGCTCCGCGCGGGGCTGGGGAGTCCATGCCTCCCCACCGCCATCCTCTGCCCCCGTCGTCTGCTGCTCCCCCCACGTCGGCAGTGGTGGGTGCTTGTGCCCGCCTAGCCGGCCGTGACACGCACACCAAAGTCAGAGGCGTGTGTCGCTAGCCGCGAGAGGCAGCGGGCAAGGGATAGGGACGCGGCGGAGAGCTCTGTCCTCCGCCGCTGCGGGTTATCGACGGAGCCCGATGAGAACGAGTGGCTCCTCGCATGGGTCTACCGCCGGTCGCTTACAATTGCGGAGACGGATGCTCGGCAGCTCCGCGGGAAGAATGTGAACGCTCTCCAGCTTGCCATCGAGCAGTCCGAGTGCGAGCCAAGGAGAAGGCGACGAAGGCCGCTTGGCTGGCGAAGCTCAAGCGCCAGTAGGACATGGCCGTCCGGCGCCTCAAGGGCCTCATCATCATCTCCTCCAATGACGACGACGGCGGGGGCTCCTCGTCTAATGAATCAGACGATCCTCCACCAGCCGCCGACAGCTCCGGCGACTGGAAAGTGAAGGGTTGGCCCGAAAGTGGTGAAGATCTGCTTCTTTAATTAAATTTTAAGTTTTAGATGTAGTCGTTGGGAAAAGAACGTGTTGGGGTCATGATCGTTACCGTCACCGAGTTGCAGCGGAAGAAGAACGTGTCCGTGTAGATCATACTTGGAGTCCCTCAAACCGTCGATGAAGGATCCCTCGTACCGCCCATGAACGATCCTCGAACCGAAGACCGAAAGCACGGCCTCTCTACTTGGTTGCAAACATGCAGCCTTCACGATCCAGCAACGCTTCACCGTCCAGAGCTAATCGCCATCGGATATTTAGAGGAAGGATAATAGAACCACACTGGACTTCTAATTTTGAGGACAAGAAGATTAGCCAAGATCTAATTAGTGAACTAGGACAAACTAGGACAATAACTAGAAGAAGTAGAGGAGGCTCCAAAACTTGTATATAGGTGACGTTTGAGCAACCCCAAAGCCCATCGTACGGTAAGAAGTGACCATGATGCTCGAGCAGTATCAGACATTAACACTATGTGTTATTACAATTGAATGTAGACGATATTAACTCAATTCATAACAAATAAGATTGGGTCATCGTTCTTCTAACATCATAATCTCAATATTGTTTTAGGATCATCATTACACTTAATGATATCCTAAGATCTGAAAAACATGATAACCAACAATACTTGAGCTAGCTAGTCTTAGAGGTGAGACTAGGAACCTTTCATTTACCGTTTATCATTCCACAAGTGCATATGAGTTTTCCACTGAATCGCATATTCCAAGATCATAGTAGGTATAGCATAGAATATAAACTCTTAATTATGAATATGGAAATATAATAATACAAATATTATTGTCTCTAGGGCATATTTCCAACAGTCTCCCACTTGCACTAGAGTCAATAATCTAGTTTACATAGTCTCTTTAACACCTATGGCTATCTGGTGTTGCTCATGCTTTGCTCGTGGTAGAGCCTTCGTCATCGGGTCTAACACATTCAAATCCGTGTGAATCTTGAGAATCTTCAGATAGCCCTTCGCAACATATTGTTGAACAATGTGATACTTGCATTCAATGTGTCTGGTCTTCATGTGTGATCTTGGTTCCTTTGCTTGAGCAAGGGCACCACTATTATCACAATAGAGAGCCATTGGATTCATCACACTTGGGACAACACCAATTTCTTCAAGAAACATCTTGATCCAGAACGCCTCCTTTGAAGCTTCCGAAGCTGCAATATACTCTGCTTCTGTCGTAGAATCCACAACAGTGTTCTCTTTGAAACTCTTCCAAACGACCGCACCACCATTAACTATAAAAGCATAACCTGATTGAGATTTATAGTCATCTATGTCAGCTATGAAGCTAGCATCGGTTTAACCATTTACAACGAGTTCTTCATCTCCTCCATAAACAAGGAGCATATCATTTGTTCTTCTCAGGTACTTACGAATATTCTTTACTGTTATCCAGTGAGACACTCCTAGATCACTGTGGTATCTGCTACTAACACTTAGTGCATACGAAACATCTAGTCTTGTACAAATCATGGCATACATAATGGAGCCAATAGCAGAGGCATATGGTACTCCACTCATTTGCACTCATTCATCAACTGTCTTTGGACATTGATTTTTGCTAAGTGTTATGCCATGTGACATTGGGAGAAATCCTTCCTTTGCATTCTCCATTTTTAAACCTTTTTAAAACCTTATCAATGTACGTGCTTTGGCTTAGTGCTATTAGATGTATTGATCTATCTCTATGCTAGATCTTTATACCCAATATATATGCAGCTTCACCTAAGTCTTTCGTTGAAAACACACTCTTCAGTTAGTCCTTTATTGTGCCAAGATATGTAGTATCATTCCCAATCAATAATATGTCATCTACATATAATATTAGCAATGCTACATAGCTCCCGCTAAACTTCTTGTATACACAAGCTTCTTCATCATTTTTAATGAAGCCAAACTCTTTTACAACTTCATCAAAACATTGATTCTAGCTCCTTGATGCTTGCTTCAAACCATAGATTGACCTTTGAAGCTTGCATACCTTTCTAGCATCCTTCGGAACAACAAAATCTTCTAGTTGTATCATGTATACATCTTCATTTAGATTTCCATTTAGGAAAGCAGTTTTGACATCCATCTACCATATCTCATAATTGAAATATGTAGCTATAACCATCATAATCCGTACAGACTTTAGCATTGCTACCGGAGAGAAAGTTTTATCATAATCAACTCCATCAACTTGCGAAAATCCTTTTGCAACTAGCCTTGCTTTATAGATGGTAGGATTACCATCGGGATCTATTTTTCTCTTGAAGATCCATTTACATTGTATGGGTTTTACTCCTTCTGGAGGATCAACCAAGTTCCAAACTTGATTCTCATACATGGACTCCATTTCAGATTGCATAGCTTTGAGCCATTCTTTTGAGTTGGGCGTCGCCATCGCTTTCTTGTAATGTGCAGGTTCATCTTCCTTTAAGATGAATATTTCATTGTCAGACCGTTTAGGAGGCTCATCTTCCTCTAAGATGAATATGTCATTGTCAGACTGTTCAGGAGGTTCGATAACTCTTCCTAACCTATGCGGTTCAGTTACAGTCTTAACTAGAGTTTCTACAGCTGGTGTAGTAATTTCCGGTTCAGTCATGTAGACAGTTTCTAGAATAGATTTTGTTTCGCTAGTCCTCACTTTCGGAGATTCAACAATCTCATCGAGCTGTACTGTCCTCCCACTTACTTCTTTAGTGAGAAACTCCTTCTCGAGAAAGTGTCCGTTCTTAGCGACAAACACTTTGCCTTCGAACTTTTGGTGGAAGGAATACCCAATTGTTTATTTGGGATAACCTACAAGTAACATTTGTCTGCTTTAGGGTCTAGCTTATTTGGCTATAAACTTTTTACATATGTCTCGCAACCCCAAATCTCGAGATGCAACAAATTGGGTTTCTTCCCATTCTATAACTCATATGGTGTCGTCTCTATAGATTTAGACGGTGCTCTGTTTTGTGTATATGTTGTTGTTTCAAGTGCATACCCCATAATGATAAAGGTAGGTCGATAAATGACATTATTGACCTAACCATGTACAACAAACACTACAAAAAAGACACATCCATGACATTTTGGGCCGAACGAAAAAAATCATGTCATATTTATGACACTTCTATGACGATAATTGTGACAAAACCCGGTATCACCATAGATGTGGTGGGCTCCTACTTCTATGACAAAAAATCATGACAGAAAATGGGTTTTTCGCCCTGGGCGGGCCGAAGACGCAGTTGCATGACATTCTTTGGGCCGTCCATGACGGAAAAAACCGTGGTGGAAGCGAGGGTGAGGAAAATATTGGGGTGTTCCCGGTTGCGGTGGGTGGTCGGGGCCGAGCGATGCATGGAGATTTCCGCGTTTCTCTCGTACACACACGCGCGTGGGTATAAGGCGTTGGGCTCTAACTGAACCCGAGCGAGGCGTTCACCTAATGAACCCGAGCGATTGCACTGCAGGCTACGCGTTACTGAATCCGAGCGATCGATCGATGGCTGTTAACTGAACCCGATCGAGCGATTCCTTCGCTACTGCTGCTAACTGAAGCCGGTCGATGCTGCCTCTGGATGAACAGTGAGCGTTGCTGGGGGGGTTTGGATGAATAGTTTCCGGTGACGTTGATGAACAGGACCCCGTGGTGTTGGTGTTGTCTCTGGATGAACAGGACCCCGATCGATCGAGCCGGTTGGGGCTGGATGAACAGGACCCCGTGGAGGGCTGGATGAACAGGACCCCGATCGATCGAGCCGGTTGGGGCTGGATGAACAGGACCCCGTGGAGGGCTGGATGAACAGGACCACCCCATGGAGGGTTGGATGAACAG